TTACACATAAGGTGTCATTTGTTGTATGATCATATTAGTGGGAAAATATTTAATACAACAAAAGCTTTATCATCCATGACAAAATATTAGATTAGTTAATTTCTTTAGTTGTAGTATATATTATACTACATATATTCAAAATATACAAGAGGCAGGAATGGGCATCATGATGCAGATTAATAATGAGATTAAAAGTGTGAATCATGAACTTAGTCATTTTGACTTTGTCACAAATCTTTTGAAATAAAAAACCTGTTTTTTGTATTAACTTGTTTCCAAGTCATATGTGTCAAACCATGGGCCTGAGGGCAGAATTCAGCCCACTAGGTCAATTTATCTAGCCCTCAATAGCAAACAAGGCATATTATATAAAAAAGTAGCATATTTAATTTTAAAAATCTACAAAATAGCTAAAACTGCTACATAAATGGGAGTAAAGCTATAAGGAGAGTATTTGGAGAGTGTAACTTAACTCAAGAACTCTACTATATTATTGACTGCATTCCATCCAGTTTTGGTTAAAGCATTGTTCTCATCCTCAGATTGTATTTTCATGCATTCCTCCCATCCATTTTATTAAGTATGCAACATATCACACTGACAAAATGTACACATTTTTGTCAGACTGATATATTTTATGAAACTTGTAAAGTTAATGTGATTAATCATCTTCTTAATAGCTTCTATTGATTCTATCTATGGAAGGTAGCTGGGTTTTTATTTTATGTTTCTAAATGGTTTGTGAATAACTAGTGTAGATAAAGCACAAACCTGTCTGACTGGTCATCATTACAGTTCTTTAGGCATTACATGCCGTTAAAAGAATCTGTGACAATGAAACTTGTTTAGATTTGTATCTTTTGCAATGCTGCAAAAATATTTTTGTGGAGGACTCTTGGAAACACTGATTATTACATTGGCTGTCTTCAAAATTGTCTTTAATTAGCTGGTTTCAATGTGAGAGATGATGAGGAAAATGCAAGTTACTAAGGAATGAATGCTCCATCTCTTTCTCTACTACAGACCATTGTATTGATACCTGAGAGTGTGTTTAATATTTGTTTACCAATCATATTTTCCATGTAACCACAAATAACAGAGTTAGTCTACAAGTCTGGGGGTTGAGGGCCAGGACTAAATCTGTGGTCCCTATAGTACCCCCATGATTCGTCCTATAGCAGGGGTCTTCAACGTTATATATTCTATGAAATTGTGTTATATTAGACTGGTCCTATAGTCACTCTATTATTTGCACTGGAAAAATTATCTAGAAATAAGTAAAAATGTCTTACATTAAGTGTATTTACCCTTGATTTCAGTAGGTAAATTAGTTTGCCAATGGAATTACTATTTTTACTCTTAAAATAGGATAATTCGATAATAAAAGTAGAGTAAAATAAAACAATGCAATTGTGTTTTCTTTTTTTAATTCTAAATTGTATTGTTCCGTTGGCAACATTTTTCTTTTATCTCCTAAATTCAAGTACCAATGCATTTATTTTCAGAAAAAAATTACTTATCTAGATTTCTCATTTTGATTCCCTGTTGATGGGACAGGTGTTGTGAATGAAAAGGTGCCCAGCTTTGAAAGAGTTCCTGTGTGTCATTGAATGTGTGCATTGATCATGGGTGGTTCAAGACAGTGGCCAACGGGGGCCAGTGCCCCTGTACATCATGTCTTGGCCCCTGTACTGAAGACATAATACTCAAAGAAGTTCTAATGATGATATGCGCTGGAACAGACATGGTTACTGATAGCTCCTTTGGATCCATCTCTTTTTTTTTTTCTTTACAAATTCTATTTTACTCATTATTTAAAAACAAAATGGTGATAGCTTCAGTGGTATTGAGATAGAATCATAATTTTCCTCTGCTAAATGTTTTTTTCAAAAACAAATTGCTATAATTTTTACAGCTGAATTTATCAGTTTTTCTTGAGTTCTGATTCAGATTTTTAGAGAAAATGGTAACTTTAACTTAAATTAAGAAAAATATTTGTAAAATTCCTAAATTATGAATGTATGTTGACCTAATAAGAAATAGAATTTTAATTAAACCTAATTGAATAGAAATTTTACTTCATGCACCTGTCCTAATATATTTAAATCCCCTGCCCTGTTTTTTATTTCATGCTTTTCTGTGCCCCCGTGAAAACACGCTGGCTCCCTCCTGGCCCCCTGGTACATTTGGTCTAGAACCGCCACTGGTATTGATAACTGAAAGACATCTTCTGCCTCCATTTATCTGTTTACTACAGTGTGTTGAATTAATGTTAATGTCTATTTAAATTCATTACAATAAGTGGAAAAAATTGCAGGGGGGGAATATTTTAAAAAAGTCTATTCAACCAAAACTTTCACGACCCCCATGCAATACCTCTGTGGACCCCCTGTTGAAGACCTCCTTCCAATAGGTTTGCAACCCCAGTGTCGAAGACCTGAGGTGTAGATCATTAAACACTTAGATGTAATCTGAAAGATGTTATCATCAAACTTAAAATACCTAATTTAATAATTAAATTATTAAAATGGGCTTTTTGGGGAAATTTCTAAAGATATTTTATCACAACTCCGCCAACCTCAAGCACAACCCTTGGGATTACTCCTTCAGAAAAATTCTGGTATAGTTTATATAGAGTGCAAAGAGTTAAATAAAGAAGCCATTAAAGATAAAAACACAACAGACAATATAAAGAGTGTATATAGTTAAAAAAAAAAAGCATAAAAAAGCCTTGAGATGACTTGTGTTGTGAATTGGCGCTATATAAATAAACTGAATTGAATTGAAAAAAGTTGTAATGTCCTGGAATATGTTTCCCTTAGATATAAAAATACCTGCACAGTAGAGAGCTAAGGAAAGACTACACAGTAGTTGACTTGGATTATTGCACTTGTACTGCAGAACTGTACTCACCATATAAATAAGTGAAAATTAAAAAGGCTACACAGTAGTTGGCATGTGTTATTGCACATTGAGAGAAAGGAATATTGCTCATGAGTGACAATAGGTATGCAGTCAGTATGAGGATGGAAGTTTTTAAGGTTAAAACTATATAGAAATTGTTCATATATTGAAACTGTTAAGATCAAGGTATATATCCTGTAGAGATATCACATATGCTTCTGTTGATCAACCATTCTTTTGATCCAGCCGTTCAGACATTCTTATATCCTCCTCCAGAGTGTATTTGACTCATCCAACAGAAAACTTTCAATTCACTCTAGTGCCTTGTGTTTGTCACATGTGATGAGTCACATGTGGTTATACACAAATTGTAAATTTAGGAAGTCTGTTTCTTGAAATGTGCCACTGGTAGAAAATCTGGATTCTCAACATGTTTTATTGTTGGAGTAATCAACTGAAAGGATCTACACAGCCCAGGACTCATTGTAGATCTTACTTAAAAACACTGAGCTTATAAATACACATTTTCTAAATTCTGAGTCTTCTAAAACAAAACAAAAATATGAAAAAAAGAACTTTTTTCCAAACATACTCTACATACCTCTAAGTACATGGCAATGGAGCTATAAATACAGCCGCAGAGGGCAGGTTTGCAGAGGGCGTGGCCTTTGACTTCCTTTATAATAGTACAGACTAGACTAAGCTGCTGACTTGCTGCCAGTTAACTGCTTTTTTACGCTTATTGGCCAAAATGGCTCATCTTCCAGAACTGTTTAAGTATGTGGAGGAACACCAAGACCTTTATGTGCAGGTAGGATTGATGTAAAGAAGATTCGTATGTACTTTAGTGTGATTTCCTTCTCATTCAGTAATTTAAAAATGAGGTTAAATTAATTAAATTAGTTAAAGTTAAATTTGTTAAATTTTACTTGATAACTTTAAATATGCAATAAGAAAGCATCCTTTAACTAATTAGCTTCTGGTTTGTTGCCATTTACTGCATTTATACTTAGAGAGGTCCGTTTACCTGGAGAAGAACTTATTTGGAACAATTCAAATAATTTTTCAATAAGTAGTTAAAATATACTTTTAGAAGATGTTTGAATTTCCTCTAACCAGCGACTGGCAGAATGGGTCGGGGTCCAAAGTGTGTCTGTTTGGCCTGAGAAGCGCAGCGAGATCAGGAAGATGATGGAAATGGCAGCAAAAGACATAGAGAGGCTGGGGGGGACAGTGGAGCTTGTGGACAATGGCACACAAAAGGTACAAGTTTTTTTTATTTATTTATTTATTTATTTTTACCCAAGTTTTTAACCACAAACTTCAGCTAAGCAATGTTCCTTCCTGTAGCTTCCCTCTGGTGAGGAGATCCCTCTCCCTCCTATCCTCCTGGGCTATTTGGGTTCAGATCCTGCAAAGAAGACTGTGTGCATTTACGGTCACCTGGATGTCCAGCCTGCTCAAATGAAGGACGGCTGGGACACTGAGCCTTTCACTCTGGTGGAGAAAGATGGTAAGAGCAAAAGCTTTGTGTTTTTGTCCAGGGCAGGGCTGAACTTTCTTATGCGCAAAATATCACTAGTCAGGTTTAGCCACTTTTAGAAAGAACGTGCAAGAGGAGCCTTAAAGTCAGTCAACTGCCAAATGGCAGATCTATTATCACTGCCTCACTGAAAAACACCACACCTTGATTTACAATCAAGCAAACAGGTGAGAACTCCCCATTAAATCATTACTACATGGATGGTTGATTAGTTTTACTGTGGATAGAGTGTTTGGATCCTGGAGAGGCTGCAAGATCCCCAGTTTGGAACACAGACTGGAAATCTGGGTCCTTGAGCCAGTAGAATAGAATAGAATTCAACTTTTATGGTCAAAACAGTGTCACAAGTACAAAGCAACAAAATTAACTCTCTGCATGTAACCCATCCCCTTGGGAAGCAGTGGGCTGCCATTGTGCAGTGCCTGGGCAGCAGTGTGGGGTTAAGGGTCTTGCTCAGGGACCCAGAGTGGCAGTCTGTGGGAGTGGGGCTTGAACTCAAAACCTCTAGATTCCAACCGCAATGCCCTAACCACTAGGCTGCCTCTCCCCCAACAGCTAGCCCCCAATGGCTCTCAAAGGCACTATAAAACGAGCCCATTCCTAGGGATGGGTTAAATGCAAAGGACATTTTTTTTTTGTATGTACAATTGCAAATAAAGGTGATTATAAAAAAACAAAACACAATTAGTAAAATTTGTTGTGCAAATAAATCGGCAAATAAGAAATCTAAAACAGTCTAAAGCATTTTTTTAAAACTAGAAGGACAGGGGGAACTTGTGTGCTTCAGAGAAATAATGTTGTTGAAGAAAGATCTGGACTGATTGTCAATCCCTTTAACATTTCAAATCAAATGGTGAGAAAAGAGGAACTAAGCTTGTTTGTTGAAAGTAAAAGCAAAAGCATTTCCATGCAGTGTAGCCTTCCAAAATAACCAACTAGTGAGCCTAATATTTGGGAAGAAAAAGGTTAAACTTTAAGCAAAGCATTATTTGTGGAGCAATGGCAGTCTGAGTCCCTATTCAGGAATAGTCTGTCACCTTCATGCACTGCAGCCACCCCAAATGATAGCACTGTGGCTAAAGGCCTGTAAGATAGCTTTGGTTTATCTGGTAGATGTGCCAGTCCTACAAGTCTGTGGGGACAGTGCTATCATTTGTGGTTAATGCAGCTGTTCAGAATGTGGTTAAGAACTCTTATATTATCAAAGAATGAGTCTAGCTCACCATCTGAATGGCCAAGTTATGCCATCAGTGAAATTCCTTCTTCCCTTTCTGCCTGGTTATACTTTAAACTCCAATGGTGCATCAATGGTTCAAGTAACATTTTCACTTAAAGATTAGCCACAGACTCCTCCATCATTCCTATAAAAGATTCCTATAAAATCTCAGCAAAGGATTAACGCGTCTCTTAAAAAAAAAACTGTCACACAGCAAAGACCTTCTGTAGTAAAATCTGTTTGTTTGTTTGAAACTTGCAAGTGATACGAACAAAGAAGTAGATAAATACATCAAAACATAAACTACATATCAAACCGCCAGGGAAAAGGTAGATGTTGTTCAGTTTCCTCAGTTTGGCTGCATAAATTTATAGTAAGATGAGTGATGGGAGAAAACAGGGATTTAACAAGATGAGAGGTCTGTTCTAAATCAAGCAGTAGTTTATGTCAACATGCATTATTGGTCTTAATTATTTGTTTAAAGAGATAAAAAAAATAGACTGAGTTATCAATTTTAACGTTTGTAAAACTGAGTTATATCTTTGTAGGTAAACTGTATGGGAGAGGATCAACTGATGATAAGGGTCCAGTGTTGGCCTGGTTTAACTGCATTGAGGCCTATCAGAAGATCCAACAGGTAAACGTTTCATTGCCATTCTACAGAATTTGTTCATCTAGTTGCTTGTATGTTAGTGGATTTTTGTCAGTTATTATTTTCTGTAGCAAAAATGAAACAAAGCTATAAAAACTTAAAATATAGAACTGCGATGGGGGCAATTAATTGTAGTTTAATTTAGGCTATTGTGGGTTTTAGAAGTTGCCATTAAGGTTCTATCTACTTGGGTTTTCCCAAAGTAAAGATTTTAATGTATTTCTTCAATTGTGCAATAAATATTTGATCTG